CAAGTTGGAGTGGGGGAGGTCCAGGTTGGATATTAGGAAACACTATTTCACTAGGAGGGTGGTGAAGCACTGGAATGCATTACCTAGGGAGGTGGTGGAGTCTCCTTCCTTGGAGATTTTTAAGGCCCAGCTTGACAAAGCCCTGGCTGGGATGATTTAGTGGGAATTGATCCTGCTTTGAGCAGAGGGTTGAACTAGATGACCTCTTGAGGTCCCTTCCAACCCTGATATTCTATGAATGTACTGTATACTTAATTTCATACAATGTTATCTGGATAATTCTAATCTGATTTTATAATTTAGATTGTCCTGTATTGTTGCAACATTTGCTATGTTTCTGTCATGCTATTATGCAATATTCTCAATTTCTCCCTTGTTTTCTGGATATATCGATGTATTCCTAAGCAAGAAATCAAACTGAACAGGATTTCTGTTTGGACAGTGATCTGTAGACCTCCTGGGTTTTGAATCCGATAACCTTCATACCAGTGTTCATTTGCTTCTCTGTATCAGTTTCCCCCAGATATATTTTGTTATTCAAATTACAAAGGTAGCAGTAATACTTTAATGGAGTGAAATTGTCTGTAAATTAGGCAGAAAATTATTGCTTAGTTCTGGACATAAAGATTAATCACTTTGGACCCTTTGGAAGTATTATAAAATCAGGTTGTTTTTAATATTCTCTATTTTTATGCTTCTATTCCTTATTGGAGGGGCCAAACTCCTGCTGAGTCAGATTTCCAGGTGCTTGAAATTGCTCGGAAACTGGAGATGTATGGCGTTAGATTTCACCTTGCATCTGACCGTGAGGGGTCCAAAATTAGCCTGGCTGTTTCACACATGGGCGTACTAGTATTCCAGGTAGGTTGGAGAAATAATACCAGATATGTACATCTTCCTTTTGATTATAATTCCTTAAGTAACTGTCAGTCACTTTAATCTACAAATCTCTTCTGACTTTTTTTAATAGCTGACTTTATATCACAGAATCATAGGGTCAGAAGGGACCGCAAGGGTCATCCTGTCTAACCCTCTGCCAAGATGCAGGGTTTATTGCTAAACCATCCAAGACAGATGGCTATCCAGCCTCCTTTTGAAAACTTCCAGTGAAGGAGCTTCTACAACCTCCCTTGGCAGTCTGTTCCATTGTTCAACTGTTCTTACGGTTAGGAAGTTTTCCCTGAGATTTAATCTAAATCTGCTATACTGTAGTTTGAACCCATTGCCTCTTGTGCTGCCCTCTGTGGCAAGAGAGAACCACCTTTCTCCATCTTTTATTATGGCAGCTTTTCAAGTAGTTGAAGACCGCTATCATGTTCCCCCTTAATCTCCTCTTTTTCCAAATTAAACATACCCAGTTCCTTCAGCATTTGCTCATATGGCCCTATGGGTGCTCCACTGTAGGTGTGACTTCATCCCTGTGCTGCTGATTAGAGAACTTTGGTAGCTGTGTCCATTGGGCCCAGACATGCATCGTCTCTCTTCATGCTGCACCACTGGCTAGAGTGTGCAGGCTAACCATTTACAAATTTAACGACTTTATTGACAAACTGGCCAAAGGACATCAGCAATATTTTAAAGCCATCATAGAAGAGGGACAATTAGTAGCAAAAACATCACTACAATTGGTCCTCCCTGCCACCAACACGGCAGGTAGGTCCATCTCCACAGCGATGGTGATGCAACGATCATCATGGCTCCACTTATCAGGATTCCCGAAAGAGGTGCAGTCCATAGTGGAAAATTTTCCTTTTGAGGGTACGAAGCTCTTCGCCAAAAAGACCAATGCCTCCCTTCATACCCTGAAGGATTCCAGGGCTACCCTGAGGTTGCTGGGAATCTGTACACTGGGGTAAAAGAGGTGTTTTAGTCCCCAGTCTCAACACCGACCATATGTGGCTCAATATTTACCTCAGCACCATTAAGAACCAAAGAGAAAGAAAGAGAAATTCCTGAAGTGCAAACCGTCTGGTCTGCAAACCTTGTCCAAACCACCTGCATATAAATATCCTTTTTGACGGGCAGGTTGAGGCGCCGCGAGACCACTTTCCACAACTGACGCAACCATCCATGGCCAGATCCGGGGTGGGTGGCGATGGGGCTAGAGGGATCCCAGCCCACCCAACTCCACCAGGTCCCAGCCCAGGGCCCTGTCAGCGGTGAGTGTGTTCACCATCCAGTCAGCGGGGATCCTACCGCAACACGCTGACCTTACATGAGTTGGAGATACCACTCATTCCGCCTCCTTGGGCCACTTCCTACTGTGTTTCCTGAAGCTGTAGACTGTGTATTGTTGAGGTCTCCGGGTTCCCTGGTGTGGGTAGCTCCCAGGAATTCTGACTCCTGCCAATTGGGTGTAGGTAGCACGTTTCTGGTGTAGTCCCTGGGATCTCTGGCTCTCGCAGTTAGGGGCTCCTGGCCTGGAGCCTCCACCAATCGTGATTCCTCCTCAGTGACTAGCCCAGACTGAGCTGAGTTGCTCATCTTTATAGTAGCACAGCAGTTGGAGCATGCTCAGCACGGTCCGAGGGCCGGGACTTCCTCTGCCCATAGTGTGGGATTAAACTTTTCTCTCCTCGTGCGGGGTATGCACACCCTGTCACAGCGCCATACAGGCAAAAGCCCTCCTACCTCAGCATAGGTTCCTGTCCCTGGCTTCACTCCTAAACACCATTCAGTACAGTCCACAGATACTGCCCTGACTCTGCCTCCAACTTTTTGGACACATGGCAGCAGGCATTGTGGTGATACCACACGCCAAATTCCACGTGTGATGTTTCCAATTATGGTTTAGTTCAGTTTACAGACCAAACAGGGACAGGCTGGACAAACCTGTCACTACCCACCAGGCTCAAAAATTCCTTAAACTGGTGGAAGGACCCAACCAATGTGTGCAAAAGGATCCCCTTCTCATACATGTCACCATCATTCTTTCTTACCACCAACTCACCACTCATAGGGTGGGGAGCACATTTAAATGGCCTAATGACACAAGGCAAATGGTCACATGCGGAGTTGTCTCTACACTTCAGTCTCCTCAAACTGAGAGCGGTCAGGAATGCCTGCGCCTATTTTCTTCTGCTGATCGCAGGATCACATGCAAAGATCCTAACAGACAACATAGCCTGCATGTATTACATCAAGCGTCGCCGGGGGCCAGGTCACCCTCCCTATGCATGGAGGCTGTGAGACTATAGAACTTGTGCATCTCTCACAACATCACGTTATCCCGCAACTTACCTCCTGGGCACGCAGAATTCGATAGTGGACAACCTCAGTTGCAAATTCCCACAAAATAATGAGTGGGAGATGTACTCATCAGTACTCCACAACCTGTTCACACGATGGGGAACACCATCCATAGACTTGTTCACCATTCACCAGAACAAGTGTCGATGCTACTGCTCCAGGGTGGAGATGGGACAGCAGTCTCTGGACGATGCTCTTCTTCTCCCCTGGGACAAGGACCTTCTTTCCACCTTTCCTCAGTTTCCTCTTCTGCTGAAGCTCCTGTTAAAAATAAACAGGGATGGAGCTCACGTCATCCTGATTGCCTCTACTTGGCTGAGGCAGACCTGGTATCCTTACCTGATACAGCTTGTGATGTGCCCGCTGATCTCTCTCCCGACCTATCTGCACCTCCTTTCGCAGGCTCCTGCTTGGTTCCAGCACCTAGAAAGTTCATGTTCAAAGGAAGTAGAGGAGGTTCTATTTACACAGTAGAAAGTCCACCACACAACGTACTTACTGTCAGAAATGGTCCAGGTTTCAGATTTGGTTCATTTCCCAACAAATCTCTCCAATGTCATTAACTCTTCCACATATTCTAGTCCTATGTTCTGACCCTTAAAAAGTCAGGATTATTCCTAAGCTCTCTTAGGGTCCATCTATCAGCTATTACAGCCTTTAATGGTACTGTCTCACCCAATCACTAAAAGATTCCTTAAGGGTGGTATCAACCTCTTCTTTCAATTTCGATTCCCTAAACCTGGTTCTGAAAGTGCTGACTAGGCCCCCCCTTTGAACCAATGGCCACCTGTTCGCTAACATACCTATCAGTGAAAACGGCTTTCCTAATAGCAACTATCTCAGCCAGAAGGGTAGGAGAGATAGCAGCTCTGATGGCGTATCTCCCTTACACAGTATTCTTTCCTGACAAGGTTATACTCCGGCTACATCCAAAATTCATCCCTGGGGTAACCTCCCTGTTTCATATGAATCAATCAATTCACTTTCCAGTCTTCTACACCAAACCTCACCAAGACAATAGGGAGGTTATACTACATACCCTAGATGTCAGGAGAGCCATGGTCTTTTACCTTGATAGGACAAAGGCCTTCAGGAAGTCCCCTAGACTTTTCACCTCTGTGGTGGAAAGATCCAAGGGCTCAGCAATATCAGCCCAAAGACACTCTTAAGTGAGTCTTGAATTGCATCAGACAGTGCTACCAAATTCTTAACGTGATCTCCTCCCTCCCCACCCCTGGATCTATATACATTCCACAAGATTGATCTCCTCATCTGTCGCCTTCTTCAAGGATGTCCCATCACAGAGATCTGCAGAGTGGGGACGTGGGCTTCAGTCCACACTTTCGCAGAACACTATGCTATCACTGGGGACTCCACCTCCGATGCCATCTTCGCCTTCACAGTACTGTCATCTGTAACTAACCCAACTTCGAAGTCCCAGCCCTCCAAAAGGGGTACTGCTCGGGAGCCACCTAAAATGGAGCACCCATAGGAATGCTAGTCAAAGAAGAAGTTACTCACCTTGTGCAGTAACAATGGTTCTTAAAGATGTGTCCCCCTTGGGTGCTCCACAACCTGCTCTCCTCCCCTCTAGTTCTGAGTTCTCGTTTATGACTCTGTGTTAGAGAAGGCACTGAGGACGATTAGGCTGAGTGCGCTGGCTAGCCTCGTGACACAGCACGAGGAGAGACAGTACATGTGCGGGCCCAATGAGCACTGCTACTTAAGTTCTCCGATCAGCAGTGCAGGAAGTTAGACACACCTATGGTGGAGCACTCATAGGGGGACACATCTCGAAGAACCATCGTTACTGCACAAGATGAGTAACTTCTGCAGATATTGATGACACCTGGGAAACTCAACCCAGGTGAGCAGTTAAATTGGATTTTGTAGAGCTATCCTTGGGTAGAATGAACAATGGAAAGCTTACAAAAACAAAAAAACAAAAATACCTATCTAAAACTTGTATATACCACAAAGTAACTGATATTGTCCTTCAACATCTGCTTGAAGACCCTATGTTTTCTATTAATCTATGAATGATATTGCAAAGCAGATAAAGCCTGATCAAAGGAATAAATTGAAAATAGATTTGAATACAATGAATTTTGGGGGCAAGGAAGGACATTTGTTATTGTTCAAGATACAACTTGACTGTAAACATTTCTTGCTAGCCATAAATAATTTTGTTTTTCATTTAGGGTACCACAAAAATCAACACCTTCAACTGGTCTAAGGTCCGTAAATTAAGCTTCAAGAGAAAAAGGTTTCTTATCAAGCTACACCCAGAAGTCCATGTAAGTCTAGCCATACCTATAGCCATGGCACTGTTTGAAACAAGTCTTCTAAATGTTAGTAGAAATACTTAAGTCTATAATTTTGTAAAGCAAGTGGATTTTTTTAAAATGCCCTAAAGGATACTTTTTGGCTTCATCCTTCAGTTATTGTAGTAAAGGTCTCCCCCACCTCCTCAATGTCCCTACCTTGCTCTTCTAAGGCTTTCCACTTCCTATATCTGTCTTGGCCCTCATTAGACATAAGCATGTGTATTTTAAAATATCAAATAGTAACGATAGTTATGAGTATGTTCAGTATGTAATTCCTGTGTATTTTCTTTTTAATAGGAATGTTGCTTATAGTACTGGTGCTTCATATGTAAATTTGCCTACTGCTAAAACTAGTAATTTGGGGCCATATGCTCCCTTTGCTGCATGGTGGGGAGAGAAACAAAAGTTCACAAAAGAGGTCTGTTTGGATTGGGTGACAAGGATGAGAGGCTATTAGGCAGGCCTACCACCAACTGTGAAGTGCTGGACAATCCTGTTTACAATGACATGTTGTCAAATTTGCAAGACTGAAGAAGGCATGGCCAGCCATAAGGGGTCGGAATTTCTGAGCAGACACTCTATACACCATGAGCCCAGAACTTTGGAATTCAATTATGGGGCAAATTGCCACTTGGGAGCTAATGCTGCTTGTTTCAGCTTGCTGCTAGTTTCTTTCGGTGGCTTTAATGTACCTCTGGGTGTTATGTAATATGCAGTTATGGTAGCTGTGTGAGTCACGCTGCCCATTGCTGTAGTTAAGGGTATGAGAGGTTCATAAAAGAGCAGGCACTCCTGCAGCAGATGTTTGGAGATCTGTAGGGTTTGGGGCCAGAATTTGCTTCAGATTCCTGGGCTCCACATGGTTGCCAGATTACAGACTGTGCACCTGCACCCCATTGCTAATCACATATGCAAGGGGAGAATGGGGCATGTTTATCCCAATTTTCAGCCCACTAAATTTTTGCAGTAAACTTTTTCCTTCTGTAGTTTTTTCATGGAATAGAATGAACAGAAATATCCAAAACTGGAGACCTGGTAATAATGGGAGACTTTAACTACCCAGACATCTGTTCGAAAAGTAGTATGGCAAAATACATTTCCAACAAGTTTTTGGAATGTACCAGGGACAACTTTGTGTTTTAGAAAGTGGAGGAAGTAACCAGGGAAACAGTCATTTGAGACTTGATTCTGACCAAGATGAAGGAATTGGTAGTAAATCTGAAAGTGGAAGAACGTATGGGTGAAAATGATCATGAAATAATAGATATCATGATCCTAAGAAAAGGGAGGAGTGAGAGCAGCAGAATAAGGACAATGGACTTCAAAAAAGCAGACTTTAACAAACTCAGAGAACTGGGAAGAAAATCTAAGGGATAAAGGAGTCCAGGATAGCTGGCAGTTTCTCAAGGAGACAATATTTAACGCACAATTGCAAACTATTTTGATGCAAAGGAAAGATAGAGCCATATTGGCCTCTTAGTAGTCTTCCTATCAGGAGCTCTTTAATGACCTGAAATTCAAAAAGGACTCCTATAAAAAGTGGAAACATGGATAAATTGCTAAGGAGGAGTACCAAAGAATAACACGAACATGTGGAGACAAAATCAGAAAGACTAAGGCACAAAATGAGTTATACTTAGCAAGGAACATAAAAGGCAATAAGAAGAGGTTCTTTAAACATGTTAGAAGCAAGGGAAAGACAAAGGGAAGTGTAGGCCCTCTACTTAGTGGGGAAGGAGAGCTAATGACTGATGACATCAATAAGGCTGAGTTGTTTAATACCTCTTTTGCTTCAGTCTTCACTAAAAAGTTTAATAGTAACTACATACTCAAAACAATATTCATGACAAGGGGGAAAGAGTGGAAGCCAAAATAGGGAAAGGTTAAACAATATTCTGATAAGTTAGATGTATGTGGCGGGGGGAGGGATAGCTCAGTGGTTTGAGCATTGGCTTGCTAAACCCAGGGTTGTGAGTTCAATCCTTCATAGGGCCACTTAGGGATCTGGGGCAAAATCAGTACTTGGTCCTGCTAGTGAAGGCCGGGGGCTGGACTCAATGACCTTTCAGGGTCCCTTCCAGTTCTATGAGATAGGTATATCTCTCTATATATTATTATATTATAAATTCATCCTAGGGTACTTAAAGAACTAGCTAAAGCAATTTTGAACTGTTAGCAATTACCTTTTGAGAATTCAGGGTGTGGTCCCAGAGGGCTGGAAAAGGGCTAACGTATCTATTTTAAAAAAGGGGAACAAAGACAACTTGGGAAATTATAGACCAGTCAGCCTAACTTCAATACATAGAAAGATACTGGAACAAATTATTAAACAATCAATTTGTAAGCACGTAGAGGATAATAGTTATAAGAAATAGCCAGCATGGATTTGTCAAGAATAGATCATGCCAAATCAACTTAATTTTCTTCTTTGATGAGGTTACTGGCATAGGCACCACAGGAGGGAAGGAGCAGTAAATGTGGTATTCTCTTGATTTTAGTAAGTGTTTAGACATAGTCCCACATGAACAAACGAAGGAAATATGGTCTAAATGAAATTACTGTAAGGTGGGTGCACAACTGGTTGAAAGACCGTACTCAAAAAGTAGTTATCAATGGTCATCTGTAAAACTAAGAGGATGTATTTGGTGGTCAGTCCTGGGTCTAGTACTGTTCAGTATTTTTACTGATGACTTGTATAAGGGAGTGGACAGTATACTTACAAAATTTGTGGATGACACCCTGCTGGGAGAGGATGCAAACACTTTGGGGGGACAGGATTAGAATTCAAACTGACCTTGACAAATTGGAGAGTTGGTCTGAATTCAACAAGATGAAATTCAGTAAGGATAAGTCAAAGTACTGTAGCCATGGCATCCAGCAAGTACTTCACTTAAGAAGAAAAAATCAAATGCACAACTACAAAATGGGGACTAATTGGCTAGATGGTAGTACTGCTGAAAAGGTTCTGGGGTTATTGTGCATCACAAATTGAATATGAGTGAACAATGTGATGCAGTTGCAAAAAAAAAAGGCTAATATTCTGGGATGTATTAAAAGGAATGTTGCATGTAAGACATGGGAAGTCATTTTTCCACTCTACTTGGCACTGGTGAGGCCTCAGCTGGAGTACGGTGTCCAGTTCTGGGCACCACACTTTAGGAAATATGTGGACAAACTGAAAAGAGTCCAAAGGAAAGCACCGAAAATGATAAACATTTTAGAAAACCTGACGACCCCGATGCAGTTGCCCCTCTGGCCAGATCTTCTGTCATAGAATCACAGTCGGCTCCTGCACCCAAATCTGGCAGTGCTGCACCTCACAGTTTGGTTGCTCCATGGTTAACTGCTGAGGAGCAGGAATGCTTGGCTCGAGTCCAGCAGGTCTTACGGGGTAGTAGAAAGCCCTCCACTAGAGCGATCTGTCTGGCCAAATGGAAACGATTCATGTGCTGGGCCTAGGCCCAATAGGTTAGGCTAGAGCAGGCCTTGCTGCAGTTAATCCTGGACTACCTTATGTACCTGAAGGTCCAGGGTTTGTCCCTTTCATCAGTTAAGGTCCACTTGGCCGCTATATCAGCCTTTCACCCTCCATTCCAGAGCAGGTTGGTCTTCGCACATAACATGACCGTCCAGTTCTTAAAAAGTCTGGAGTGGCTCTACCCCGAAGTCTAGGACCCAGTCCCTCCGTGAGCCTGGAATCTGGTGCTTGCGTGGCTCATGAAAGCCCTTGGTGTTCTGTTCCCTTCTTGTAACCGTGCCCTAGTGGGTCACAACTGAGGATGCCAAGTTCAGGACGAACTGCTGAGATGTAGGGCAAATGCAACCCAAAACTGGTGGTTATTTTTTTATAAGATATACCAAACCAGCCACAAAAGTAAACTCCTGTTCTTCTTCGAGTGATTGTTCACGTCCATTACACATTAGGTGTACGCGCGCCGCGTGCACGGACGTCGGAAACTTTTTCCCTTAGTGGCTCCCGTCGGGCCGGCAGGGCCCCTCCCTCCCGCCAGAGCGGCGCCCCGCTCTAGGGTATATATATCCCTGCCGACCCGACCCCTCCAGTTCCTTCTTACCGTCCATGGCGGCGTTGCAACAACTCTGTCTCTCGTCTGAGAGTGTCCCTTAGCATAGTCATTAGTGTTATTTAGCAAACAGTTATCAGTTAATTAGTAGTAGTGTTGAGCTTAGTAGTTAACAGCTCATTAGGTACTTAAAGTTCCTGCTGTCGTTGCTTGGTCAACCCCGGCACCGGCCCTGGGCGGCGGGGCATGCTGCACGCCCAAGGCTTCAAGGCTTGTGCCACGTGCCACAAGCCTATGCCATTGAGCGACCCCCACGACTCCTGTCTCCGCTGCCTGGGGGAAGCTCACCAGAAAGAGCGCTGCAAGATCTGCAAGGCCTTTAAGCCCAGAACTAAGAAAGAAAGAGACTTTCGCCTCAAGCAGCTGCTCATGGAGACGGCGTTGCAGCCCTCCACTTCGGCGGCACCATCTGCCTCAGTGCGGAGCGCCCCGGCATCGGTGTGGGAACCGGCGCCGGCGGGTCACCCGAAGCCCACGGCACCGACCCAACGGGGGCATGTACGACACCGGTCGTCTTCGCCGGCAAAATCGAAGGGCCAACCCAAGGCCCGAGGACGCTCCCCGCATAAGAGGGCAGCGCCGGTGAAGACCTCGAGTGCGCCTATGGCCGGCACGGCCCCGGCACAGGCCCCGGTAGTGGCTCCGGCGCCGAATGGCCCGTCGAGCCCCGGGATAGGCGCGTCGAGTGAGGATGAAGGGCTGGAGGAGCTCTTGGAACAGCCCTCCACTCCGGACACATTTGAGGCAGCAAAGGACCTCATTGCATTGTCCGTTGAGGGCCCTCCACGAACTGAGGACGCTCCGCCGAAGCTGCCACACAGAGGCAAGCCGGCGATGGTGCACCCATCACGGTCGCCATCTCGGCACCGTTCAAGGCACCGGTCCCGG